GCGTCGTGTGAATTGCTCAAACGTCACGTGCTCAAGATATTGTGGCCATATATCTTTCGGGATGTATATTGGTTTGAAATCCCTCCAAATCGCAATATTGTTCCAACCTTTTTTTTGCGCTTCATATAAAAAATCATGCCCTCATCTCTCGTGTTTTTTTTTTTGGCACTTCATATCAAAAAACATGCAACCTACTTCTATAGTGAGAAATTAGATTTTGAAACATAAATTTTTTTCTAAAAAAATCTTGTATTGTTTTCGATGTTACCTAGTTGTCGCGTGATTTTTCCACACTTTCCTCACAATAGTGTTATGCTCACTGTCCTTGTAGAATTTGTCATGTGTATAAATAAATAATTTTAAATAAAAATAATAATTTATGTACAATTATATTAATAATTTATTAGAAATAAGTTGAAAATTATAAATTAACACCAACCTCAAATCTGTCAAACCATGCATTGATTTGAGGTATATATTTAAGACGTCTGGATACTTGACTCTATTGAAATAATAAAATCTCCATCGATGATTTAAATGCCGATGATATTACTCGGGCAACCTCAATATATATATACCTGAAATTAAATTAAATTAATGAAATATTGATTAATTCATAAATTATGTTATAACTATAAAAAAACTAAAACAAAAAAAACTAAAACCTTAACAAACTTACATTGAAAGGTCGTCCTTCCACTGTGCCTCGTACTTGCGGATAAATTGATTCTACTGTGAAGACACGCCGCCTCTACACTGTGAACTAGCGCTGGAAGAGGCAGCATTGGTTGACAGCGCAAGTGGTGTAGATGCCTCTTCTTGAGAAGCACCTAAGGAAATATCATCCTCGCTGCTAGACGAACTAGCTGTGACTATACGTGAGCGATTGCGACTAGCTCTGGTTTTTATTATACGCATCTACATAATTTTATACAAATAATTATATAATTAAATTCAAATGTTAAAAAAAATTTCGACAGCGCCTCTCTTATACTGGATACTACCCAAATCCACAAACCTGCACAGATTAACAATAACCACAACCAATTGACCCAATCTATACTAATTATTCTAACATATTCAATTACTATTCAATTGACCAAATCGACA